AAAGATTGAGCGACGGAAGCGTCAGTGCTTGCTCCAACTTCGCACTCAACTGCTCAAGTTCATCTTTGTGTCTGGCAGCACTAGCCCTTCCAATATCCATATCCATGAAGGATACGTACTCAAATATCGAATCCTTCAAGAACTTCAAATCTTCCTCTGAAGAAGTAGCAGGACGATCAGATGGAGCAGGGCGAGACGTCTGGACTTGCCCCCAGTAAGCGAACAAGTCTTGGATAGAACGCACAATCCTGTCAGCATCCTGTAAAGAAAATTGCCAATATTAAAGATGCTCACTATAACGAACAAAATAGAAATAGAAGTGAAGCAAAGACTACCTCATCAACAATCGTGGAAGATGGCATGCCCTCAACCAAGTCTGCCACCAACGATTCCTCCATTCGTGAGGACTTCCCCTTGTCTGAGCGAGAAGATGTTGCCACAACGGGCGGACTCATAAGAGTATCTACAAAACTCAAGAGCAACAAATCAGAAACCAACAGCACGAGCAAAGGTAAGACATCAAAAAACTGAATTACCCTCTGCTTCGATGTTTGGGGGGTTGACGCCCTGGGAAGAAGGTGGCTCATCCATGGGTTGTGATGAGGACTCTGGGACTGAAGATGTCTCTTTAAGCGTAGTCCCCTCATCAACCGGTTTGGATGAAGTAGCCTCAGCAGAGGATAATGGAGCAGGAGCTGTCGATGCCAAAGCCTTTGAAGGAGAGGCTGAGCTTTTCTGAAAAGTCCAAAAGATCATCAGCACACAGAAAAGTTTCAAATTTGGAAAAGTATACTTGTAAGTAAACCAATTTAATTACCTTCCTCCTGACGATAAGAGGGGCACCATCATCATCATCAACATCATCCTCCAGAATGGGAGATGCTGAGGCTGGCCGTTTGCGGCTTGGAGCAGTCTTGGCTGTAGTAGGCTTGGCAGGGAGAGAAGAAGATGGACGAGCAGACTGTTTAGTGCGACGAGAAGGAGAGGGGCTCCGAACAGACAAAGGAGTGGCCAAAACAGGAGGAGGAGAAGAAATTCTCGATTGGTCTAATGAATGAAAGGCACGATTGGCGTCAGTCGCAAATAATCTGCGCTTCACCGACGACCAAAGTTGTTCAAAAAGAGGGTGAATGGCGTGGCTAGATTTGAAAGAGGCTAATGAAAAATGGCTGGTTAAAAGAAGATTACGAGCATCTATAGCCTCTGCCTCCGCCTTATTAATGGTATAAAAACGGTCAACTAAATTCTTTGAATAGCAAGGAGGAACAGGCCAAGTTTGGCCGAAACCAAGCTGACGAGCAAAAAATTGGGGAGCATAAATCTCTACCCCTGCCTTGGCATTAGTCCCAGTTAGAATATCATGAAATAGCTCCCTCCCAATTAAAAACTGGATCCAAATGAGCAGGGAGGTGCTCGCGCTATCTATGGTGGAAGGGGGATGTACATAGTTTGGAGTCAAAAAAGGAGGAAAAGGAAAAAAGGAAGGGATTGAATCCAAAGAATAAAAGAATGAAAAAATGTCCCTTCTGGACATATTTACAGGAGCTAAGGGCTCCATGGCTAGCCCATAACAACTAACAGAAGGGCGAGAAATGGATGGAGCACCAAGCAATGGAAAATAGGATCTCAACCACAGTTGAGTGAACCAAAGAGGTCCACAGCCAGTGGGAGATGCACCATTCTTTAATTGAGCTTGAAGAGAGGTCATGCCTCTATAAAGGGCAGCCAAAAACAAAGAACATAAATTCAAAGGCCTGCCACGTGCCAATTCGTGCGCTATAGGTAAATAACTCAGAGAGGGTTTTATACTTGGCACGCACAAAACATATTTACAAAGCCAAACTAAAAGGAAAACCACTCGCTCAATATGGGTAGGCTCAGCGCTCGAATGATTGTGGAGGGTCTGCAGGCTTGAATAAGAATCGGTGTAGTTTCTAACAAAACTTTGGGGCGCCACCAGAAACTAAGGTACCAGGAAAAATGATATCGCCCAAAGGTGGCAGATTCACCGGGGCCCCAACATCCCTTAAGGTAATAGACATGGGGTCAAGGGGGAAAATAAAGGTGTTATACTCAGAGGACCAAAAACTCAAAGCAATCGAAAAGAGTGCTGAATCAAAAGTAGGGGGGCGAATAGAGATTTCTAACAAATCAGAAATCCTAGCGCTATTAAAAAGTGCCTTAGTAGGACCATGACCCACAAGGCGAGCATGCCATCTACGGAAAGCTACATCAGATTTAGGCCAAGTGCGAATACCTCTTTCGCGAAGTGGCCCCAGTGGTAGAGAGTTCAGAAATGGAGGACCCTGAGTGCAAGGAAACAGCTGACCTATCGCCGCCTGTTCAACTGCCTCTGCATTGTTGAAGAAAGGACCCAAGTAGAACTTGTTACGTCCAACGTCGGCGGGCGCGAGAAAACTTGGGGTTATGTATGGGCGACTCAGAAGTCTCTGAAAGTCATCAAAACTAAAGGAATCGCTAACTTGAGATTGTGAAGCAGCCATTTGAGAAGGAACGAAGCTTTTCAGGGTTACGTAGCAGGGAAGCAAAAGATGAACAGTGAATCGCGAAAGAGACGCAAAAAATATGAGGCGTGGTTTGGTGGCAGTGAAATGGCGTGTTTGGGGTTTATAAGGGTCTACAAAACGACGCACCTTTTCAAGTTATAGAAGGAAACAATAATTGAAATTCTTGGGAATTTCGAATGTTGCTGGAAACACAAAGTGAATATAGCAAAATTTAATAATTATTATTAATTTTGCCATATTGGGGGGTAATTGTTGACACATAAAAATTCAGCCCAAATCGAACAGCCCAAGGAGTGAAGCCCAATTGGAGGATCCCCATATCAGATAGCCCAAAGAACGAAGCCCAATCGAACAAATCACGATGAAGGCCCAAATAAGGAGGCCCAAGAACGCGGTAACGCCATCGCCCAAGTTTGCAAGTCGCCCAGAATCTAAGCGAACGGAGTGTCATACAGTCGCCCAGAGCTATTACTCTATTATCGCCCAAACCTTCAAGTCGCCCAAGGTCTTAACAAACATAAAGCGTCATGGTTATCAAGAAGTGCAGTTATCAAAGCAGTTATTAAAGCAGCCCTATCACGTTCCACGATTCAAGGAATTCAATCGAAAGCGGTTGAACGATGAAGGGTAATGGCAGCAGTTAAAAATGCAGTTTTCATGACAAGGTGGCCATGACGAAGAAAGTGGGTAGTTATAGGACGATCAAGCAGTTTTTAGAGCGGTTGATCATAAAGAAATCGTCCACGAAGTATAAAAGGGAGAAAAGACATAGAAGCAAAGGACCGAATCCAAAACTCTCGAACAGAGAACATGTAATTTTCATTTCCTTAGTTTTTAGACTTAAACACTTTTCTTTCAGTAACTCGTGTGTTTGCACCCCTTGGAAGCACGTTGTTTTTCATTTCCAATTGTAAAGTCATCACCAATAAAAGAACACCTCTTTTTGGGACTTTGTCTCAAGAGGTTTGTCCCTTACACAATCGTCTGATCCTTTTTAATTGTTAGCGACTAACCCGCGCGAAACAAGAGCTCCATGTCCCGAACCCACCCATTGACATTCCTAATTCAAAAGTTGCAGAATGCCAATACCTACCACTTGGAACACGTCAAATTAGAAGAATTCATTTGATGTACAAGTAGAATAATTCTTGAATATAATTGAAAGCGCCAAAGACAAATTATATTCAGAACAGAATAAAAAGGTCCACAAATTGTTTGAATATAGCTTTACATTCTTCCTGAAGTGACATTTAATTTGTGGCTACAAGTTCCGGCTTTACACAGAAGGCGAGTCGGATGAGTTGGCTGCAGCCCTTTTCTTGGCAAAGTATTCTTCAGCACGTGCAAGGTTCTTTGCGACCGATGGCTTCACCCACTTCTTTCTGCCGGGAAGAACAGTTAAGGAACAACCTGCAGCCTCAAGCTTCTCCTTTGCTGAAGTCGAGAATGCACGAGCCTTGAAGTTTAGTTTCACACTCAATTCTCCATCACCTAAGATCTGAAAGAAAGAGATATATGAGCAACTATTATGAAACTTAACGCCATCTAGTGAATACTTTTTCCTCCTTTGTTAGTAGATGCAAGCATTTTTCTGCTGCTTGCATGATAACCACCTTATTGTTTTTGTGTTGATTCCCATGAATTTAAAATTAACAGAATGATGAGGGCATTTACATATTTCCAAGGCAAGCAAGTAGCAAATGTTTCTTAGGTTATGATGAGACTATATCATATGATGATCTTCCCTGAGAAAATTAGGAGTTCAGTTCACAAGAAGAGAATGACTAAAAAAATATTGTATCGATGCTAACTATAACGTCCTGAACCAATTAGTGGTGCCTCAAGTCGACTAAAATGTTAATTTTGCAACTTGTTGAACTGAACATTTTCCTTCGTAAGGCAAGCCAATAATATCTCTGTTTTCCTCCACAACACGAAGAAATGAAAGGACATAACACAAGGCATGAATAACCACCACTGAGTTTTTATTCACTAGTTTATTAAAACACAAAGGCATTTTATCTTCGAAAAATAGTTAAATTATGCCTCCTCCTTGTTGGTAGATCCAAAAACGATGAAAAAGCATAAAAATCCCAGGTTCTACACTACAATGATTTGAAATTCAAGGACAAGTCTAAACAAGTAAACATATTCCAGATCAGTCCGCTTTTTCAGTCCTTCCTCGGTTTACAAGAAAAACAAAGTTCAAAAAATGAATGAGATAGAAAACTCAAAAACTATCACCGAGGTCACATGTTGTCCATTTAACCAATTATATGGTCAAACTAAGCCCCGTTTGACAACCATTATTTCAAAACTCTTTAATTTTCATTCTCACTTTCAACCATACATTTACACAAAAAAATGTTTTGTATGTAAATCAAAAACTTTTCCCTACTTTTTAACCACACATACTCCAAAAAATAACTATTCAAAACTATATTTTCTCAAAATATTCTTGCCTCGAAGAAATCCTAAGAAAAATAAAAGCAAAAACAAAAATCTAAGTATAATGAAAAAGATTATTTATAGACCAGGGAAACTTTCTATGAAAGCAGTTGTTATAGAGGATGTAACTTGGCATGTGAAGCTTAATAAGAAATAATACATCAATTACATAAGTAAAGAGTCCCAAAAGGACTTAGTCTCAGATTAGTGTTTGACCATTCAATTCTTTCTACTATATGGACAGAGTTCTATTTTGCATCTGAGAAATTTGAGCTGTTTTAAGTTAGAATGAACTTTGCTCTACGACATTCTAAGCTCAGATACAATGATTGATTGATGAATTATTATTTGAAATATGACCGATTTAATGATTCTTTACCTAATTATAAAGTTTTTATAGTCTTCCACTGATCTAACAATTTCTTGGCGTCCATATACTTCCAAAAAAGAGGCTCTTTTCACACATTTCTTTCCATTTATCTAGTCAAGAAGGAGCTTATATATTATCTAAAAAATATTACATCCATATGATAGAAAGAACAAATGTAAATTAGCTTTATAAATGATCGAGGTGCCCATAGAAAGATACATATCATTTTAACTCCATTCTTGTCATTAGATAGACATTATTACTGATCTTAACCTTCAGCCTTCTGAAAAGCTTCTAGTTACTACAAATTTTAGAGAAAAGGGATGATATCAAGAAGACTTCATTTTTATGCTCATATTACTATTTAGACTAACATATTTTGGTGTATAAAGAATAATACATAAATAAAATGTTTGGCATACAGGGGCTGATATTTCCTATATAATATTAAATACATTAATATGGGAAATTTCAAAAAATTAGTAGTAGATGGACATGCAGAAAAATTGATTTTGGAACAGTAGTAAAGTTGGTTCTGATGTTAAATTAGCCCCCATTTGGCCCCCATTATTTCAAATTATAATTTTCTCTCTCTTATTTTAAATCACAAATCTTCCATAAAATAATATTACACGTAAATCAAAAACATTTTCTTCTTTTTTCTCCAAAAAAAATACTATTCTAAAAATTATAAATTGAAATAATGGGGGCCAAACAGGGTATTAATTATATGAGATTATCTCTTTATAGAAGATTAATCGTATTAGTGGTTACTGCAGATCAGAACGGAAAGGCTCTATGATCAAGGATTTGATTATTTTGGATCCTAACAATAGGTACGTTTGCTGGAGGTCTCACAACTGTCATTATATATCCCAGGTACCAAACACTATAACCTGTTAGCATTTCAACATCCTAAGAATCCTCATTATGTATATCGATCATGCTGCGGGAGATATTTAGCTTCCACACAAACCGTACATGACCATGTAATGGCCTTCAATGACTTTCTCAATTTTGGATTGAGAAAGGGTAAATTACAAATATATTGACATTGAATAAATGCTGGAAAAGTTCACCAATGGGGGATATCTAAAAAATTAGGATGTAATTGAAACTTTAAATGGAAAAAGTAGCTACATGATATTGTGGAGCTTAGAACGAAATTTCAGTTTGGATTTTGTAAAATATGAGGTATGGCTTTGTAGCTTCTATCACAACAAAACCACAACAGGCATACTGCAGCAGGAATGTAATAGCCTAATGCACATAACATGTTTTCTTGATTTACTTTGATGGGAATAAAGCTTTAAATGTCTAGAGATAGGCATAAATGTTAAAACAATAGACATGCTTCTTCTTGTCTTAATTAAAAGTAGCTTCAAGTTACTATTATGGATGTGGTGCAAGATACTCAACTAAAAGTAGCAGAAGTATACTATGAGGTGGATTTCAAAGCTTCATTATTTTCTGCGCCTAGCTCCACAAATAGAGATACATCTCAAGGCTGTCTTGTGTTGAGCTGCAAATTGTGATTGTTTATGTTCCATACATTTTTGCAAGGTTTTCAGGATTGGATGTTGTGAGATACTAATTTTTATTTGCATGTTGAAAAAAATATTATTTTGTCAAGTTATTTTTGCGGGGCTTGTCAAGCTTCAATATGGAAAGGAAGGTTAATTATACGAGAAGAATTCATTTTTCTGAAGTGAGGTACAAAGAGGATGAAGATGAGAAAAGTAATTGGTACAAATGGAATTTCTTTGGAAGTATGTGAGTATTTGGGCGACGTGGATAAATGGTTGACAAAATTGTTTAATGAAATCTTGAAGAGTAAAAATGTATTTTATGAATGGAAAAAAAAGTGCTATGCTGCCTATTTACAAGAATAAAGGAGAAATTCAGATTTGTAAAATCAAATGGCTGTTAAGTTTACAAGTCATACTATATAATTATAAAAGAGAGCGATTAAGCATAGACTGAAGATGAGGTCCTTTGTTGTACTCAAGATGAGCTTACACGACATATTCAAGATGAGGTCCTTTGGTATGTGTTATTCACTGAAGATATAATTCTAGTTGATAAGAACGAAGGGTAGTTAAATCATAAGTTAAATAGTCACTTTTCCCTAAAAGTGACTATTTTAGGTTTCTAAGTTTGATCACTAACAGGAGGAATGAAAATGGATGTGAGACGTAAGATTAGAGCACATTTGATGAAATGGATGAGAATGACAACATGGAAGAGGGGTCATCCGAAAATGGATAAGATAGAAATTGAAATATATGCTAACAAGTAGGGGTCGTGCTGATTTGAAGATAAATTAAGAGAATAACGACTCAAGTGCATGTTTTTATAGCCTAAAGAGTGGCACGATCTTGGTAGAACACAAAACTAACATGACGTGGTTATTGCCAAGATCTAGTTTCTTTAGATTTTCCTATAGATGTAGCAATTACCCAAATGATATCCTTCATACCAAATTCTAGTTTAACAAATTAATACATCCTGTACAACTTGTTGCTAGGGATGGTGTGGTAGTTTCTGGTAGACCCTTTGCTTTGGGGAAGATGTTTGTCATGGCTAACTCCAAGAACAATAATTTATTTTAGAAGGTGATGCCTGACAAGGGTAGTATATTCTTAACTGAAGAAGGGCTTTAATAAGGTCTGTGGACAAGTATTCCTAGTTTTAAAAATGACTACATACCACTACAAGCACTTTCATTCCATTAAAGTAAGTTTGGAATATCTTTATAATGAGCTTTTGAATGAAAGCTTGTTCAAGTGGGTAAAAGCTGGAAACCGTAGATAATTAGATATAACAGTGATGGAGTATCAGCACTACATGAAGATTTTTATTTCTTCATGCCAAAATATAGTAACACATTGATGTTACCTTCAAGGGAAGTCTCCGCTCTCTTCCTGAAGGGTTGATCAGACCCTTCTTCTTCAAGGATTCCAGCGAGACCTCTTCCCCCTCTTGGAATCCGGCAGCTTCAATATCTTTCAAGTTCACCGGGACATATTTTGGCAGTCCAGCATGCATGCCTTAATTAATGAAAGGAATGCATGTATTAGTAAGAATATGTCTCAAATGCAGTATGCGATCATGTACAAAGCCAGAACACAGCTACCTATGGTTATCAAACATTTCATTTAAAGTACATGGAGAATCCCAATCAAAATATAAAATGCATAAAGACCAAACCCTTGAACTTGGTATCACACTGCAAGACACATGCAGAAGCTTCAAGTCTAACCCTGAATCGGGCAATGTAATGTCATTCGATCATATCATTGACAAAAATATCTTGCCTTCACGAACACTTCTCCTTGCATATTTGATTACCAAGGTTGTGTTTCGGATAAAAATAGAAAGTGAAAAGATCTGCATATTCAGTTTGTTGCTTGGGACAAGAAAAGCACGAGGGATCATTAATTTTGACAGGGAATAAGAAGTAAAAATACATGTTGAAGGCAGAGGAGGCTAGAATGGAGAGTGTGCCTATTACAAAGGTCTGGATAGCAACCAAATTTTGAAAAATAGAACATGAATCAAGGAATCTTAAGAGAATTCTCAAGGTTTCAGTCTGTATTACTCGAGTGAGTACAAAGAGAATGAAATGTTCCCGCGACTTAAAAATTAGTTGTGGGAAACAACCCTAGAAATGTTCTCCCAGAACTTGACCATAAAGATATTCTGGGCTACTTGAAACCTTTTTTCAGAAACGGTTCTAACTTATGTTGTTGCAAGACTCAATAAAAAATATAAAACAATGAATTTTTCACAGTGAGTGGACATTGGCCAAAATCTTCTCTTCAACTGCACGAGCTAAAAAATTTCAAACTGCAATCAACTTTAACAAAATATAGAGGCTACGTACTTTGACAACCTCAATGAGCAGAATAACTACATAAATTTTACAAAAATTACACACAGATTGGGAATCCCGTAAACGGGAAACAAATTGATCTTTTCCATTAAATTTCAGGTCAAGGAATTAATTATACTATATGTCAACACATAACCCCTTAGATGAGCGCATAAAACATATTATTCACTACTAAAAGTACTTCACTCATCAAATTAGTACAATTTAAAACCAATTCCACATTGAAATAATTATACTATATCTCCAAGCATTCATGCAAAAATCAAACAAACCCAATTTAGTACTCTCCTAATTTAGTCTAAAAACTCCACAAAATCACGCAAATGTCACAGAACACAATCCTTATAATAGATTTACCTCCAGCAATCCCTCTCAGCTTAGGAATTCTCCGATACAGTGGCATTTGGCCACCTTCGAAGCCTTTTCGGACTCCAGGTCCCGACCTGGATTTCTGACCCCTCATTCCAAACCCACAGCTGCCCCCTTGTCCAGCAGCATGACCTCTCCCCTTTCTCTTCGCCTTCTTTCGAGACCCGGGTTGAGGACCCAAGTTGTCGAGCCGAAACCGAACGCTGCTCTGTGTTGTAGTAGAAGAATCTTGAATCGCAGAAGCTACTGAATTGAGTACAGTTAGTGGTGATTTTGGTCTGGTATTTTGTCGGAACAATTTTATACAAGTAAATGGAGTTGGAATTGGCTTCAACGTTCTCACATTGCCCTGTTTAGTCCAAAAAGTGGAAAAATCAGAACTTTATGGAGTCAGAAAATGAGATTTCTTGTTTTTATTTTTATATTTATCGTTTAATTTATTCGAACAACATATATAATATAAAGAGATAGAGAGGAATAGCGAGTACCTTGAAGGTAGAGGCAGGATGATGGAGGATTGGCGTAGTTCTTGAAGGGGAGGGAGAGGAGAGGGCTAATAGAGAAGCCATTGAGAGACGGGTGTAGTGGCGTCCGCTGAGTGGGAAGAAAATGAGAAACGGATAGGATGGCCTGGTTATCTTAAGGTGTTATCTTTTCTTGCACTCGGCAATCCTAAAGACGTTCAGCAAACCATTGTAAGAAAATGAAAGCATTTATTATTTTTAAAATGAAATTAACACGTCCATTTTTATGCTAGAAATCTCTAAAAAGTAGGGTTGGATATGGTCCAATTTGATTTGTAATATTGAATTGAACTGAAAATTTCAGGTAGTATGTGGAACCGTTCAGGTTCGATTCTGTTTGATTCCGTTTCGTAATATAATTACATTTTTTAACGTTTACAACAATACTACATAAATGCAACTAATAAAATATTTAATCATAGCTTTTATAAATTAACGAAGACCAATTCAAAAAACATATAAATAACAAATTGTCCAATAAGATTAATTTACCAATATATACATATATCAAAAAGTAGATACTAATACTAAATTATTGGCAATTCATATCAATAATTCATTTGCTTCAGCCTTCAAATTTACATAAAAAAAAATTCTTGAATTAGAAGTCCTAGATAAAATATTTTTAAGTATTACTAATATTTACCAGCTATTTGATTTAATCATCAATTGCTTAACTTGCCATACCAAGAACCTCTACCGAAAAATTGAAAAAGCACAATTAACAAACATAAATAAATTAAAAATTGTTCAACAAATAAGATTTAATAAGAAAAATAAAACATATATGGACAAATTGTCTCTTCAATGCAAACTCTATATCGGGAAACTCTCAAAAGTCTACATTATTCCATTAACTAGTTTTGTGTACAAATCAAGGCCTCAACTGTTTTAGGAGTTAAAGAACTCTTAAATGGATCAAGAATGCGTCCTTTAGTACTAAATTCTGACTCAGAAGCAACTGTAGATACCAGAATGACAAGAACAAACCTTGCAACTTTAGATAAAAATTCAAATCTTAAATTGTTGATCTTCCACCAATTTAAAATATTAAAGTTTTCATCAGTATCATCTTCAGTAGGTTCCATTAGATATCGTTGTACTTCATCTCTTCTACAAAAATCCATTTTGCTAGTTTTCACTTTCTTGTACCCAGCATCAAAATTATAATCATCCCAATCATCATCATCATTTGAACCCTCCAACAAAGTGACTCCATCATTATATTCATTGTCATCACTTCCACTAGCTCCCTTGTTTGAACGATGACATCCCTTGTATTGGTTATGCAAAGCATATAATAATTTCATGACTTCATTTTTTGTGGCTTCAATCTTAACAGAGTCGTACAAGATACCAATACAATGTACAACAAACTCCATGTTATACCTAGGATCAAGCATAATTGCTACAGTTAAAATCTTGTCCATTTTATCAACATTATCCAAATACTTGTCAAACATAATCATCATACGGTTTGCTATGCTACTTAGCAAATAATTTTGCTTGTCACCCATATTTTATTTATTATTATTATTATTTATTTATTTTTTTCAAATTTTGCTCAATTTTACAAACTTCCTGAAAGTAAATATTAGAAGTAATACTCAATGAAGTACTAAACTTCAATGTAATATCATGAAATGTTCTTAGAAATTTGGTAAATTTTCTAGCTTTGTCCCAATCATAACTTGCAGGTAGCCCCTATTTTTCTTTTCCGCCTTCATTCACATCAAAATACTTACAATAAAATCCATACTCTTCCTCCATTCTATCAAAAACTTTTTCAAAATTCAATGCACTATCCAACATTAAGAATGTTGAATTCCATTTAGTAGGAACATCTAAATTAGCAAGTTTTTTTGCATACAATCTTTTCCCTTTCAATATAACATTTAAATTTCATCAACCGGGAAGAAGACATTTGAAAATATTTGACCGCATTGCGAATATTTTCTATAGACGGATTAAACTCTTTCAACCCTTCTTTAACAATCAAATTGACTATATGTGCTGAACACCGTACATGCAGATAAAAGCCACCTAAAATCATAGTATCATCAGGTTTTCAATTCTTCAACTTGTTTTTCACATAAATGATCGCTACATCATTCTTGTTTGCATTGTCTGCAGTAATGGAACCCACAAACTCTATTCTCCAATCAAGCCAACAATTTTCAATAAGCTTCCCAATTGTCTCCCTTTTGTAATTTGGAACAATAGAAAAAGTCAATATCCTCTTATATAGTTTCCAACTTCTACCAATAAAATGTGATGTGACTACAATATAATTGATATTTTGAATTGATGTCCAACAAATATGTGGTTAAAGAAATCCTTTGCCTATCACTAATGAATTTAATCCTTAATGATTCCTTTGTTTCATGCTCTAGCAATCATTCTTTGAGAAGGAACCTCAAATTTAGGGCAAAGTTGATGAACAAATTCCTTAAAACTCACACCTTCCACAAAGGAAAAAGCCAAATCATCAATAATAATCATCTTAACCAATGCTTTCTACACATTTCGTTATTTAACACCATGACCATAATACCACCATCATTGTTTTCTCGAGTGGGTAGTGCTTGGTTTTCATCAACCCTACTGTTTTTAAATGCATAACAAGTTTTTAAGTGCTTCCACATGCTAGAAGTTCCACTATTAGTATTAGTCTTAAATGTTCTCCCACAATAATTACATTTTGCTCTTTCTCCACCAAGTATCTTAGTGAATATTTTTGACCTCTCATTAGGCTGTTTTTTGTCTCCCATTTGAGCATCCAGAACTGGTATCACATTAACAAGAAACTTAATTAAATACTGCACAAATGTGGAAGAAAATAAATTTAAATCAATAAAAATGAGAAAATAAATCTTACTAACGAAAATCTATTGATAAGAAAATAAAAATTAACATAATAATTTAACATAATAATCCAGCTTTTTGATGTTAAATAAACTAATATAAAAATTAGTATTACTTCTACTAAAATCTACCGGCAATTAAAAACAATTGGTAAATTAATTAAAGTCTACGAATGACTTTTTTGTTAAAAACATAAACAAAACGTTTCGTTAATAAATACAGTAATAAAATTAAATATTAATGTAAAATTCTTTTAGGAACAAAGTAATAATTTATTTGCGATAATATATCAAGAAAAAGTACAAAGATATTTGAAATATTTTATTCTTAAATTAGAAATTGATAAAATAATATGGAAATAATAAAATCTCTGTGCAATCTCGTCGACTTCTGATCTATGATAAACTATCAAATCATCATCGAAAAAAGTTCATTGAATATAATGGGATCTCGAGTTTGTGAATAATTTCCTGATTTTGCTCATAAGTTGTTGGGAAAATCTACAGTAATGGCATCAACATATTATATCGACATTATTGACAAACAATCTATACAATCACCCACTAATAAAGAAGATTATAGACATTAGTGGTCGATGAAGTCATTTTTGACCAAAATCCAAATTCAAATACTCATATAGATTAAATCACATATAGGGAAACTTACACACTACCTTGTTCAAATGATCAACGATCGAAGGTCACGGTCTGAGCTCAGAGGTGATAGCTTCGATGGATTGTTGACTAGGGAACGTCGAACTCGGCAACTCTATCTGGGTCTTTGGAATGTCAAATGCGCGGGTTATCAATTTGAATGTGTGTAATTTATTTAGGATTAGTCGTTAGTGGGTTTGATGTTGGGCTACGAAATGAAAGAATAAAAAGGGTTTAATGTTGGGCACTTAGGCTAAAAATTAAAAAATTAGAAATGAAACAAATAATTGGGCCAAAATATTGTATTTAGAAATTGGTTGGTTGGGGGTATTAATCACCTAATTAGTTAATTTGTTTATAAAAAATTAAAATAATTTGATTTATTTAATATAAAAAAAATTAGGAAGCTTTATTTTTTCGGTTCTTGGTCTAGAACCAAGAATCGAACCATACCTTCGATTCTCGATTCAGATACTCGTTCGAATATTTAACTTGAGAAGAACCATTGGATTTGGTTTGGTTCAGTTCGACTCGATTTGGGTTCGATTCGGATTCAGGAGTTTTGTGCAGCCCTACTAAAAAGGAAAAAAAAAAAGGAACGATAGAGAAGTATATATATGTTTGATAAAAAATTTATATATAAGTTAGTTATGTTATGATGCAAGTTGATAACAGTATGTTACACTCATATATAGGTTCCTAAATTACATTAAAAATTGATTAATGAGCAGATTTTTATTCACTTTACAATGTATTTGATTTTTGTACCCTAAATTCTGGATTTAATGATGATCGCCGGGAAAAATGTGAATCTAGACTCAGCCTTTCACCCCTTTCGCTATGGTCTCTTCTCTTACTCCTTGTGTTGAGGGCTAAGATTACACGAAGTTCTGCCTCACCCTTATCGATATCTAATATAACCATATTTACCATGCACTCCGTTACTTTGCCTAAGGAGTTGGTGTAACATTCTCTCGACTAAGGCTGAGTACCTCTCACAATGGTGATCCTGTGAAATCGGGTCTGGGATGCTATAGACACTACTTCAACTTTTTAAGATTAACAAGTTTACATTCTAGACAATTTATTAATTCGATTTTATGTGCGGAATTGACTAATTAAAGCAACAAGTCACTGTAAATTAGTTTGTAAGATGATTAACCAAACAAGTCCAATTATCCCTAAGTTTGAATGCCGCAATTTATAAAATGGAAAGCAATAAAGAACACACAATTTATCGTCTACTCGAAAATAGGATTGCTTACTTACAACTATATAAATAAAAAATAAATAAACTGATGGTTAAAGACTTGGGCCAACCCAATAGTACAAGCCCACTAAAGAAAGTATAAATAAGAGTCCATAATGTAAAAGACTGATGACCGCATCAGTAATACTCATTGCTTTGCTATGATGTGCGGTGGATTTCTGTTATTCGAGTTCGTTTAGGATTCAAAAACTATTTTTTAAAGTTTTAGCGTTACTTCTATCATTTAGTTTATTTTAGATTCTTTTCAATTTAAATTTATGTAAACTTTATTTTCATTAATTTTAGTCATCTTAAACTAAGTTTTCATGTAAACTCTTATAAATAAGGGGCTCTTTCATTGTTTGCTCATTTGTTTTATTAATAAAATTTTGTGATTTTATTTCTTCATAATTTGGTGAATTCTAAATTTTCGAGTTGTTAAGATTTTTCCTTGAATTCTTTGTTAGCCTTGCGTCAGGTACATATTGGATTGGACATGAGTCTAATAGTTGTAGGGCAATAAACCTGGCCACATTAGTTAGCCAAAAGCATAAGGCCATGTCCCTATCATATTCTCTCTCTCAATTCTAACAAAATGACACTACCATGCACCTATCCCAAGTCTCTCTTCACTCTCCTTTAGGTAATGTAAGCGATCCAATTTTACCGATTTTTGACAGATTTTCAAATCAAACGGTTTAAATTGGTTTGCGAAAAATCCAAACATAAACCAAACCATTTTGAACGGTTTGGAAAAATTCAAACCTAAACATGACGGTTTGATCCGATTTTAAACTGTCAATTTCGCCATATATTTTTTTGCCTGTTTACTTTTATGTCATTAATTAATTGAATTCAATATATATTTATATTTTACTAGCAATAAATCCAAAACAAATTAAACCACTGTTTGAACCAAATTTTTGGGACAAAAAAATGAAAATTTGGACCGTTATCCCACAAATTCGGCCACCTTTGTTGACTTGCTGTTTCATGTGTGGGACCCAACCTACTCTCCAACGGTCAATATTATCATTATGATAATATGAAAAATATGGCTCAAACAGGGGTAAATATAAATACTATAAATTTAAATACTAATTAAATCAAAGTGAAATCACAATAAACTAAAACATAAATTTTTTTTTTTTCATTTTTGTTTGTCTTTTTAGGCTAATGACGATACAATAACGTTACAATACAAATCTACCAAACTAGATTTAAGGTCCAAAAAACATAATGATGTCCAACAAGACCTCGTGATCATTATATTTGAAAAAAGGATACTGATTAGACAAATAGAATAATCAACCACAATAATAAAACAATTGTTTATAATATCTAAATAACACAAGCTTACGTTTGTATGATGTTACGAAACGCATTTAATTTCAAATTCTTACCTTAGTTTGCCCCAAAAAAATTTATTGATCTGAAACTTTATTCGTAACAAATATTATCATCGAATATCTAGGATCTATTTGTCTCCGATTTGGTATAATAGATTTCAATTCAACTTTGAAGAGGCGTTAAAAATCTGAAAAAGAAATGTGTGTTTTCGATGGCTCAAGACTGTGTTGTGTATCGACTGGAGTTCATCTAAATTCTGAATAGGAAAAAAGGCTTTTGATAGATTATGTTAGTCTTGAGATTATTAGAAAATTAGAAATTAACAAAAATACCCACAAATGACAAAACTATTGAATTTTACATATTTGGATGAATTTTCAAAAAATTTCATTTTTTTCATTTTTTTATTTTTATATATTTTTTCACCGGCCCGGTTTTGTTTTAAGCCGCAATTAAATTTCTCAAATCTAAACCAAACTGTTTGGTTTGGTTCAAAACCATTTCGTTGACTGGGTCCATATGGTACCAAATCGAAGGTTTCTAAAATACGATTTTGTTCGATTTTTCGATTTGACGGTTTTTACTTACGGCCCTACTCTCGTTTGTAAAGTCACGTGATCATCTGTTGCTCAATCTTATTTTTTAGATGGAGACGGATAGAGAGACGCAGAGATAAATGTTTCCTGAGAGAGTAGCAGAAAAAAACTGAGAGAACTTTCAAGAACTCCTTCCTTCAACCCACTCAACTATCCTCGACACTTCAGCCTCAAACTGAAGTCTTATAATTTTCCAGTCTTCAGCAAACTCAAATCTGAAAGTTCTTTAATCCCCTCATATTTTTCTGTCTGCCTTTCTTGTCTTGTAGAATGTAAGTCTCACCCCACAAACTTCGCAACCGGCTCCTCAATTTCTTCTTTTATCGCCTTTTTCTTTTTACTCTTTTTTACCTCTCTAACTTTCTATAATTCTATTTGTTGTTGTTGTTTTTTTTTTTTTTTCAAGGAGATCAGAAGGAAATCCTTTAGACCTCAACAACTTACCTGAAGATTACTTTAAAGATGGCAAACAGGTCCTTGAGGACAGCTCTTCATCTTCTGGTACATCACTTCCTCTCGTGTCTTCCAAGCTAAAGATGCAATAAAAGTAAACTTATCCCATCTCTTGACGGTGATTCTGAGTGTCATAACTGATCTCATACACCAGAAAATGCAGAAACGCCTCTTTATACCAAATTAGTTGGTTTTTAAACTTTACAAATAACATAATATTTAAAGGGTGATCTTCATTTTTTATGGCTTGTGCATCTTGGGGAGACTTTTTCATTTTTTGACATTTCTTTCTTAGCTTTTGGACTTGTAAAACAAAACCCTAGACAGAAAAAGAAAAGGCCTGCAAAATTGTACATCAAGTTTAACATTGTTGTGACGTGTTCACTTTTTATAAATTAATTTTAATAATATTTTAAACAATCAATGGCACATATTTTGACACATCTTGAAATGTCAAATTAATGTGCACAAGAAGTGTACAAGAAGTTTAATTCGATTCTTGATTAGGGCAATTAGGGGTGTGGGTTTAGATATAAGATTAGTCTCATTAAAGTTGCTTTAATTGGAATATTATGCAACAGCGTACAGGAAAAACAAAAGCAGTACTATGGATGAAAAGGAAGAGCGTGGGAAGGTCTATGAGTGTAGGTTTTGTTCTATGAAGTTCTGCAAGTCTCAAGCTCTTGGGGGACACATGAACCGCCACCGCCAAGGCAAGTCTTTTTAATCTATTCTATTCACTCGAACTATTTAAAGATTTTCGTAAATTTTCATAAAACAAACAAGCCTTTTACTCCCATGATGAAAAGTGTGATTAAGGGTATTAAATCTTTGAACATGACAAGTGTAAATTTAATTTTTGCAAACTGAGTTCAAAGGCAGACCGAACTCCTCCTAAATTCGTATTATGGTTTTTTAATTATTAATAAAACGTGTAACCATGTTCTTCAAATCAATAAACAAAGGCACAATATGAGTTAGATATAAAATATTTGTTTGACTACCAATGATTTTCTTACTTTGCATGAAGCCTAGTCATGTCAATCTCGTTCACAAATAACTAGTTATATTTGGTTTTTTTATTGAATAATGGTAAGTGTCATTTCATGGTTGACATCTTTGTATATATTTTATTTGGAGTTTAAAAGGTATTGGATGTAAAAATGTGTTTTTCTTAAAACTCTTCAATCATGCACCGTCACATGACACAATGTCAACTAGGATGTCAAAAAAAAAAAGTGCATGTAACATGATTATTCTTTATTTCTTGATAGCTGTTCATTCAGCATGTTTTGATAACTGTTGTCTGTATGTTCCTCAGAGAGGGAGACAGAAACACTGAACTAGGCTCTTCATTTGGTCTTCACTAGTGATTTAGAACCAGGAGCTCATGACCTAGGGTATGTTTCCAGGTATATGCTGTTGCCTTTTTCCCACTTTTTGTTATTTGACCTAGATTTTGTTTTTAAGTTTATCAATATTTCTTCCCATTTGAAAAAAAGATTGTCAATTTTTCAAATTTGTTTCTGTTCATGACTAGTTTGTACTATTTGTAGTGGCCAACCAATTCCACATGGAAACGTCATGGTTGATCCAACAATGTCATTCAGATCAATCTACCCAACAAGAATGGTTCCTGGTTCCTCACCCCTTTTTCCACCACCTCCACAAAGAATGCCACCATCTCCACCACCCGGGCTCCCGCTGCTTCCACCCCAGCCTTACTTGAACACTTCTTTGCAGATAGGCTCCTTCCCTGCACAATGTCCCGGCCAGTTGGTGAATGACTACTTTGTTTCTGGCCATGTCCTCCACGGAAACTCACGGTATTCACACTCTAACTCTGGCTATTCTTCAGCACCACATGATCCTAATTTCACCTGCCTAAGTGCACAAGTTGGACGTGGATTTCCAAATGGTAATGCGAGCTGCAGCCAAGGACAAGATGGAGTTGATGATGTTAGTGACATGTCTCTGCACAATCTGGAGGAAGGATTTAATTGGGGCCGAAGATAGAAAATGACAATATAGCAAGATTTTGTATCTTTTATTGATAAATCAGTTTCAAGATCGACAAATGATTTTTTATTTTTATTTTTTTTCTCTAATTTCTTTGATTTCTCCTTTCGGGTTATCAGCATTTGTTTTCTTTAGTGAGAGTGCAAGTGTTACCTGCTGTGACACGGCACTCTCACTGAAAGAGAAAAGGAATCCGAACAAAACTGACAAATGGGGATATGCAAAGAGAGAAGTTATGATTTTTGTGCAGGTAACTGAGCAGCTTTTCGTGCTCATACATATGCACAGAGGTTGCTCAGTTTGGCATGAAGCAGGGATTGTATACGGTGTCTATTTTTGTTCACGACAAACTGTGAAAATGAACTAAATATGAGAGGGAAGCTAGTGCTGTGAAATTGAACTAGGTATGAGAGGGATGCTAGTGATAGTGGGACAGGGACCTAGATTTTGACAGAATGTACTCAACAACTTTAGGGTTTTTCCGCGTGGGTATTACATATTTTTTTTACAGGAAAATTGTAGCAACGGTGCCAAACTTTTCATTTAATAGCAGATTTGATTCAAAATTTTCATTTGTGACAAACTTTTCAAAAATTCCCTCCTAGAGTCCAAATGGATGGTTTCAATTAGTTTGACTGTTAGTTGACTCCAAAAAAAATTTTAATCAAATTTACAAAGGATAGAATGGTAAATTAACTATTTTCGCATAAAATAATTAAATAACAAAAAAATTTAAAAATTTAAAATAAAACTATCATCTTCTTCCCACCCACCCCCTCTCAGCCACCGCTGCATACCCCTATACCTTAATCAACCACGACACCACCGTCACCTCAATTCAAATTGTGCCTTTCATCATCTTTGCAAACTCCCTTTTCACATTGTGCCTGCATTATCATTGCAAACTCCCTTTTCGACCCAGTCGGAATTGAAGACAACACAATTTCACTTGCCGCCATTGAAACAAAAATCAAAAAATTCCAAAATATTTCAATTATAGCTTTCTGCCACCACCACCATTGCCGATACTAGTGCCTCAACTCCAGCCCCAATGGCGCCTCAAAACCAAGTACCACCACCACCTTAAAATGAACAACTCCCTCAAGCATTCGGAGACAAATCGAACCTTCAACTCCCTTAATCTATCGAACCTTTAAGCCATCGCCACCTCCAGCATTGCCTTTCCTTAAAACCTTCATTCACTAGAACCACCACTTACACCACAACAATAACTAAACCTCAAAATCAAAACAAATTTCAAAATTATTTTCAATTTTCAGATCTGAAGAAAAGAGAGGGAGCGTGCATAAAAAAACACTGACCTTTCTTTTTTATATATGTGCTCTTTTGTAGATGTAAATAACCGTCACACTCTCATTCTCCCTTTTACCTAAAGTCAACATTTGGTCAGGCTGTTGAATTTTAGTCAACTAACAGAGAAACTAATGAAAACCATCCATTTGGACTCCATGTGAGAATTTCTGAAAGATTTGGTACCATCGATGGCACAAATGAAAGGTTTAGGTCAAGTCTGCTATTAAATGAAAGGTTTGATATCGAAGATTTAGGGTGTGTTTGTCACCCATTATTTGAGAAGAATATATTATGGAATAGTGATTGATGTTGAAATGTGTGGTTAAAAAAGAAATTTTTTTTAATTACGTGTAATATTATTTTAATGAAAAATTTGTGGTTAAATATGAGTACTGTACAAAAAATAAAGGGAAAGAATGTGAGAAAATAGATGACAAACAGAGGCTTAATTTTCCATTTTCTATGTATATTCTCTCTTTTAATTGCTCATAGAAATTAAAATCAAGATTTTATTTTAAGTTAAAGTTAACAATTAATTTTAACTATACGTTTACGAGACTCACAACTTTTCCACCGCATTTCATTATATCTATCAAAACATACTAAATATCTAATTTTAATCCCCACCAAATAGCTATTAATAGTGCAAACAAAACAAATAGAGTATTAGGAGGGATATATGTATGTGTCAATGAAAATATAAATTTTAGAAATTAGCGGGTCATATCTTCCATTGAAGTGTCATGAAGATACAGGCCATCTATGACAAAGTGATGTGCTAAACATTTTGTCGGGCATGAATTTGAGGCAATTATCCCCCTTGTTTGATAAAATGCATCTCCCACTTTACCTCTTCCAAGAAATCTTTGTAAAATATCTTTCTACGAGTGATTGATATGACATTTCTACAACAGACGCTTAAAAAGTCAAATTGTTAGTCTACTTTCTAAAGGTCAAACCTAGACTATAGATTGGTCACTTTCAGGAATTAAATGCCAATCAGCCTATGATTGAAAAACTATTGCCTAGGGGAAGGCACTTTGGTCATCAAGATAAGACCACATGTCTCTTGATCGAATGTTCTTATATTATAAAAGTTTACACTTAGTACTATTTGAAAGTAATGCAATTTTATACATTCAATTATAACATTGCTCTATTTCATTTTACATATTGAAACACTACCCCCAGCGCCAGAAAACCTAAGCAGCTCACGTCTCAAGCACGTCCCACAACCAGTACATTAGTTGTCGTTAGCTAACTTGACAGTTAGAGTATAAGGAACTACCTTTCCTACTATCGAAGAAGGTTACATACAAATAACGATTTGTCAAAGTGTTGATAAAAGTGTAAAATATAATATTTTCCCTCTTAATTATTGTATTCATGTGATTATTTGATATCAAAATGCACTAATTATTCTTATGTTTTGATTCAGATTGCATTTTGGTAGAGAAGGTGAAATTTAGAAGATAAGAGCAAAAAATGACCAAAATGGAAGAAAATGAAAGTTTAGGAACCAAGTTGTAAATAATCTAAAGACGAGATGGCCGATGGAATGATGATTCGAGAATGCTAGGGGTCAATTGGGTATAATTAGAAGTCAAAAAAAGTTAAATATGACCATAATATTTTCACAAATCAAATTCCGACCGCATAAAATTTTTCCAAATTCTTAGCCAGAGATCGAAGTCCATTTTTGACCTAGTAAACGTCAAAATTTGGAAAAAGCTACTTCCAGTAAAATTGTAGTCATTTGTGTTAGCTTTCCAGTGTACTTTAAATTACCTTAATCGTACATTACGAGAGAAAGTTATGGTCAAAATACTGAAAGTAGTCGCATAGAATATTCTAGCCGAATATTTAGTTTCCTTATTCAGTTCAACTTCTTTTGGAAACAACTTGGCACACGGTTTTAAGCCCTAGACTGGATAGAACAGCCTCTTTGGACCTCTATAACAATTTTTTCTCATCTTGGGTTAAAGAATTCGATGGAGAACTAAATTCCTAAGTGAAGCTACGAAGGAACTCATTGGATTTGGCGACTTCACATAATTTATTCATGCAAATTGATATTTTTATTGTCAAACACTTCTAGATCTATATTTTCTTTTATGAATTTACTTTGGAATTGATTTAACTCTAATAGATTCTTCATAGATTCAATCATGTTTTTTCTATTGTGGAATTGAACTAATTGTTGAATTTCAATTTCAATAAACTTTATCGGTGGATTATTTACTGCCTTATGCGTTGTTTAGATGGTCGATTCTTAATCTTAGTCCAATAAACATATGCGGGAATGGTTTCTAGGATTACAATTGAAATTCGATTGATCTTCATTGTTAAATCTTCTAATTAGAAAGTTGGGATGAAAACATCTAATTGAGCAAAAAGCCATGAATTATTGATGTTGACGATCCAATCCAATTTAAGGAATTCGGACGCTTCACTAATCTCGCATATTGATAATTAAATCTCATTACAATTGATAAATTATTTTTACATAATTCTCGAAGTCCTGTTTGATATATCCTTTAAACAATTCGTCCATCTTCCTGTGGAATCAACACCCCAAAGCTGTGCTACAATTACCGTGTTATTCTTTGGGCATAATCAAATTTCGGCGCCGTTTCCAGGAAGACGGTACAAATAATCAAAGGATCTTCGATCAAAAAGGTGACTTCATTCATCTTTTACATTTTTTAGTTAGTTTAATTTTATTTATTTTTATTATGTTATTTTTCACGAAATTCCATATATTTTTGGTGCTTTAGGAACAGAGATCGAGACAAGTGGGGATGATTCATTGCAAGGCCACAACCAGTGTTTGAATCTCTTCCTAACCCTCTCTTTGATACTAAATTTATTGGCACACACATCACATCACATAACATAATAACTGATAGTGAATACGAAGAGGCACCAACTAGGACTTTGCATGATTATCTTCACCCCACATGCACATCTACACCAGCATGCATAATATTTCCACCTAATATGCCACATATGGACCTTAAATTGGGAATGATCCAATTTCTTCCCACCTTTCACGATTTTGAAAATGAAAACCCATACATGTATATTAGAGAATTTGAAGAGGTGGTTGTAACTTTTCACAATCAACATGGTACAATGGATGTAATTAGGCTTAACTTTTTCCCGTTCTCTCTTAAAGAAAGAGCAAAAAGCTGGCTATATTTATTGAGACCACGCTTGATTAGAACTTGGGCTGAAATGACTCAAGCATTTTTTGGCAAGTGCTTTTTCCACCATAAAAAATTGCATTGAAAAATCAAATCTCTTCTTTTACTCAAAAGGAGAGTGAAACTTTATATCAAACATGGGAAAGGTACAAAAAATTGCAAGCCCTTTGCCCCCATTACGGTTATGAAAGTTGATGCATTGTGAGTTATTTTTATGAGGGATTATTACCAAGGAAGCATCAATTTTTTGAAATGATGTGTAATGATAAATTTTTGCAAAAAGATCCAGATGAGGCTATAGACTATTTAGATGACTTAGCTGAGAAAGCCCATACCTGGACTAGACCTAATACCACTAAAAGTGCTAATAGGTCACGACCCGCTGGAAACCCAAATAGCATAGGTATTTACCATCTTAGGGAGGAAGATAAACTTAGAGCAACGGTAGAAGCCCTCATTAGAGAACTTGAAAACCTACGTGCTAAGGATTCAAAAACCACTCGATCCGTTTTTCGTGTTGAGTCTTTAGAGCCTTATTTTCTGTATGGAGTGAGTGATCACCT